GAGAGAGAGAGGGAGAGAGAGAGAGAGAGGGGGGGGGGAGCATTCTCATGACAAATAATTATGATAAAACATTTCTTACGTCTAGCTGTCAATGATTGCCATCCGAGCTCCCTGTAAATACATTCTTTTTGTTGTTGTTGATGTTGTAAAAATGTGTAATTCAGCTATTATGCGATCTGCTTCATACTGCATATTCTGCCTTTTTTCCCCTCTCGAATATGTAACGTTACAATTGTCCCACACTTCGCAGGCATATTCAAATAGTGTACTTATAAAACAACGTATACTTTTTCTATTTTCTTTTCTACTTAGGATGTATTTTAGTTTCCTTAACGTTGCCATGTATTTTGTAGTGTTGGTTAATATATCTTTTCATTGTGAGAGTTACATGTACCATTGCTACTTGTAGAAAAGAAATTGTGGATTAGAACGTATGTTTGTGTTAGAAATTAAAAGAATTTCGGTTTTATTTGGGTTGAAGCTCCTATAACCATTTTTGTGCCTAAAGAGTTAGTTGTTCCATATGTCATAGTTTATTAATTGTTTATATCGTGTAAACTTTAAGAAGAATGCGCTAATTTGGTGTCGTCAGCGAAAAGTCAGGTAATTGATAATAGTGTATTTGAAATATCATTGATGTATACTAGAAATAGAAATGGCCTTAAAACTGACTCTTGAGGAACTGCGGCTTTGAAAGATATTTCTGAAGATATGGTATTTTTTAGTACGACTGACTGGTGTCTGTTACTTAAGTGTTTTTTCTATCCAGTCTAAAAGTTTATCTTTTTAAATTTAATTATTAGACCTTTATGCAAGACTCGGTCAAACGCTTTATAAAACTCACAGAACACAAGAGCAGTATATTAAGGATTCTCCGGTACTATAAGTATGCTATGATAGAGTTCGATGAGTTGTTAAATTATATAGTAATTTGGTAAGAAGCCACGCAATCTGTCAATCAAATAGAAGTTTGTTACTGAAGATGTAAATGGTATTATGAATTATTCGGTCGTCGAAAGGGTTGCCAATTCAGCTTAGTAAATAAATGGGTCCCAAGTTTTGTAAAATAGGTGTAACATGGGCAAACTTCCATGAATCAGGAAATACAGAAGTACGAAAGGATTCGTTGAATAGAAATGTAAGTGGTTTCGATATTTTCTTGGATATTATTTTTAATATTTTATGATTAATGCCATCTGGACCAGCGGCTTTTTTAATTGTCTTAAATATAAATTATATCTAAAACCTCTTGTTCTGTTTTTGCAGTTTCAGTAAGGGACGATTGTTATAAGAATATTTCGAAATGAATACCGAGATAAATAAATTTATTTCAAGGTAACAATACAAATAATATTGTTTATTTGTTTGTGTGGGGGTTAAAAATAAGATTGGCGGGCAGGGTCGAACACAGCCGGATCTATCTGATAACTTGTCAAATCTACTTAAGCTCCATAATAAATGTTACTCGAGGCACGATTAACTTATGTCAAATATAAAAAAAGGAATTTGTATTGAATAACATTTAATAATTTACGAGTTGGGTGAATAGTTTGCTAGTTGTCAAGATTGCGAGAAACGAGTGGTAATGGTAAATATGAATAACATTCAACTGACGATCGAATAACAGGAGCAGAAATGATTTTGTTCAACTCGCGAGTGAAATGTAACGTTTTCTTATCAAGAAATCAAGACTGTTGTGTTTATTTCAGTTTTCTTTAAAAATATGCATGTGCTTCCGTGAAAAGACATTCCAACTACCGCCGAAAGATGTTGTGTGCTGCTTCATCGTGACGTCACAAAAAAGAAGATATTGGAACGCGCAACTATTTAAAATGTTCCCTTTTATTTTCTCACACTTAACCCTGCCATGAGTAGTCGGTTCAATGTGGAAATAACAAAAAGTTTTATTGATTTACTCGGAGCTAAGTTCAGATATGCCCTTTATCATTTGGAAGAACAAATAATAATGAGCATCAAATGTCTCAAACAAAGTAGGAATACTCATGTATATCTAGTTTGGAGGAGGACACATGTATTGAAAGACACACAGGGAAGCGCCCGAAGTCCAATAGGATCATTTCGCCCCCTTTTAAGGAAAAAGCCGAGTGTGGTCCGTTTGGTATAGAGTTGTTAATAAATGAAAAACATAATATAGAGTGATAATGTCATTTTGAAAGCTGCTTTTAGAGATATGTTACTGATAAAATAATGTTATTTGGGTGGCATAAAAGAAAGAGGAAATGAACAATTCAAATGAATAGACTCATAGATATACTTAAAAGACAAAAAAACGTCCATAAAGATTACCCATGCTATAACAACAGAAAGGAATTTTGACATATTTAGATAAGATTGCGAAGAAACAGAAAGAATGTCGCTACAAGATACTTATTTAATTATCCCATTATTGGATTAAAACTACAACGTTATTTGACTAAGTCAATACGAGGGGGTACTTAAACTAAAATGCATTACAAACTTTAGTAGGCCATACAGTTTTAACTGAAAATGCATTGACTAAATATTGAAAAAAGGGGATATCAAAACATTGATAGAAACAGACGATTTTGAAATTAATGTATTCTCAATTAACGGTATAGGGAATGTATTTTATTTCCATACTTTAAGCGTCAAGGACTTTCTTAGTTGAAAGGGTTAAATACGTAGTTTGAAGAGACTGAAATAAAAAAGGTACTTTTGAAAAAAAACACCAAGCAATTTAAAGTTATATTCTGCCAGAGACATCCCTAACCACGCCTAAGGATGTGCACTTCTGAGGGTTAAATCGCTTTGACATCTCGTATTGATCGAGTGTAATGTTGTTGTTTTTTAATAAAAGATGTCTACTGTTTACGAGATTAAGAGAATGACCAATTTTGCAGCCATTGGAATATCCCAAAAATGTAAAGCTAAAATTCCACCTGTTTGGACATTTTTGTCACTGAAAGTACCATTGCATCGACATTTTTAACGTAGAAATGATCTGTGCTGTGCAATTTTTGAATATTCGTTATTATGAGCACACAATTCAACGAAGCAAAAAATGACTCAAAAATGACATTTTATTTCTTATTTATAGTTTAATTGAAGAACTTTTGCTTTCAATCGTTAAATCTGCAAAAATAGTGAGAAAAAAAGATTAAATAGGATTTTCGTGAACGCAGGCATTGCTGTTTCTAAATCATCAATATATTGTGAAAACACTGCGGTAAAAATCAATTTTGTCTATATATTTATAAGAAGCTGTATGGCCGTATTTCAAATCAAGATCTTTCCAGAATTCCTCAAGGTTTTACTCAATTTCAAATACAGTACAAGATGAAACAACACCCTAAGGGAAACTGCTCCAGAGATCAATTATTCTTTGAGTAAAGTAAAGTTCTCTAAGATGTAAATGGCCATGTTGTTTGAGTAAGTATGACTGTGTCTACGAGTTTTTCCGAGAGCAGCGAAATCAAATAGACCCTCCACCAAATTTGGACACGCCATTATCATGAGCCGAGCAAACGTCTGGAAGCTAGAATTGGAATCCCTGACCGGTGTATTCTCTCGCTGAAGCTAATATTCTTAATTCCAGGGGTCAGCGTTGTAGATCTCTTTGGGTGATTTCTATCCTAAGTATAGCCCTATGGGGTAGGAGTGACCATTTTTTTGTAATAAAACAATAGTTAAGTTAAAGAAATTTCACTTCCATAATTTAGAAGAAAATGCTATTTGTATCGATTGTGTAGGCATTCATTGATTTCTTACTTAACACACTCGGACATTATTGTATCGAGTTGTTCAGCATTAAAAAAATGCCTTTTAGTTGATGCCATAAACTCATGATCAGGCCCCTTTTCCTAAAGATACATATAAGAAAATAATTTAATTTACATGATTCAACTTTTCAGAAGAATGTATTAAGCCTTATACAGTGAGGAAAAAAATAAAGAATTAAAAGATTGTAAGATTTACATCTGAGAGAAGATCTTAATTAATCGATGATTATTTAATTAGCATGAGAAAATCGGAAAGGATTGTTTACTGTAAAAATACCGATTGTGTATTGCATTACTATTATCCAATTTTCTTCACTAGAGTTATCTCCCTTTATTCACAAAAGGCTAGTACTAGTGCACCACGCCCCTTTGACTTCTAATACGGAGTGCAAATACGGACTTATATTTTCCCACTATTAAGCCTTCATTCCTTATTTGATCAATATAGAAAGATTCTTTTATTTCATGAATCAAATAGTTAAACTATGACCGGTTGCTTTTCAGTAAAAAATATTCTCATATACGGCACTGGAACTAAAAATATAGCAACACGACATTCTGTTTTAGAGAAGAACAGTTCGTTATCCGTGAATGATTTTGTAGAATCTTGTCTTGACATGTTTTCGTTTTGCTAAAAACAGGATCAGGAGAAACGCCTACGTCAGTGGTTTTCCTGTGGTGTGTGTATATAAAGTGAAGCCGACTTACAGCACCGGTGTCACTCGAACAAGGTAAGCTGGCAGGGGTTTATTGGGCGTGGAACCGCTTGTTTACATGTTACTTTGGCATGTAGTCGTTCTAGAGGGGTATATTCTTGATTTTGAGACACTCCATCCTCAGACTGGGAATTCCATGCCCCCTCCCCGCATTAGGATTTCCCATATACCCACATGGTATAAGCACCATCTCTAAAGATTGGTCCCCATATCTGCGATTACAGGCGTGCACCAAAGTATTGTTTTTGCACAGTGATCCGTCATTTATTTGCTGACACAGTGTTATATTTATCGATCGACAAGTTATAACCAGTCATACTTGTAAGCAGTAGAGAGTGTACACTCTATTGTAGTGACAAAGGCCGGATAATAACTTGTAAAGCGTCCCCAGTCAGGTTATTTGCATGTNAATAGTCAACGGTGTGCTGCGAAAGGCAGCAGCCCGAGCACGTAGCACGAGGAGAACGTCTCAGAAGCGATTTCCCGTGTTCTGAGGATTGTTTTTATGTTTAATTAACAAGAAGAAAAAAGCATGTTTTAAGTATGGCCCAAAGACTTTTTTTGTGTACTGGAAGGAAAATTAAAGTTTCGGTTCAAATTCTCTATCAACAGCGTGTTTTAGAAGTCAGATGGTATTATCATAGGGGCAACCTGGTGATGACAAATGTATGAATCCACAGGGGGCTTGTTCATTATTACCTAATTTGGCGTGCCGCCCGCAAGGGGGATCCACCGTCAAAATATAAATCTAGTCTTCAGACATTGTACGTTTGTCGTACAAAAGAACAAATAACACCATAACATCGTTGCTGTTTAATTAATGAGTTACTCATGGCATCACTAAGTTGCTAAACAAACGGTAAGTTCAAATCAGTGCGACACCCAAGGCCACAAGCTATATACAGGGGCGTTTCTAGGATATTTGAAAGAGGGGGCGTAGAATAAAAGCTGTCGCCGAGCGGAGCGATGCGAAAAAAGTTTTGGACCTTTTTTTTTGCTAAAAAATATAAAATAATTGTGAAATGCACTAATGTAACGGTATTTGATTTGGAGCATGTATATTTTATAGTTGAAGTGTCATGGTTTGACATTTTTTTTTATCAGAGTATGTCTTTAATTAATGAATATGATAAATTGCCATATTCAATAAAATACTAGCAGATTACGATAAAAAAACCCCTTTTTTTACGCCCATTACGACCTCACCTGGACCCGCCCCTGATATAGTCTCGCGTTTTATAATTGTTGACTAATTCACTAGTGTAGACAATGATATATCTGAAATGACCACGCTGATTAACTCATGTAAGGGCGTGCATATTACCAACAGTGGTACATTTGCTAAGCTATCTGGTTAAAATGGTACAACTTAGGAGGCACATACGCGTCACCTTTAAATTTAATTTAAAATTATCATACTTGT